GGAAGGCTAGCTAGAAATGAGATTATTGAATTCATGGCAAATCTTGAGGTCAAAGATGGAAGAGTCACCACCCTAGTAAAAGGAGTTCAAGTGACATTCGACGCAGAGAAGCTGGGAGAGATTCTTGACTTCCCTGCTGAGGGATATGATGACTACACTAGGCAAAGATGGACTAGTCTGGATTCCGTTCCTCTTGCTCTTGAAATTACTAGGAGATTCTATGATGTTGAAGAAGTGAATAAGGCCAAGTTTATGCACAAGAGTGAAATGAAGCCACAGCACAAAGTCCTCTTTGAGTTTGTCAACAAGTGCCTACTGCCTAGGCAGGAAAGAAGACACATTGCTAACTATATGGACTTAGTTCTGATGGAGTCACTACAAGAAATATGAGCTATGGCGACATTAAATAAATGTCGTATTAGGTCACATAAATGTCACATAATCAATTACCGACGTTTATTTTACATTTATGCTAAATGTCGGAAATTTCAATGTCGGAAATTTTTCGACATTTAAGTAAATGTCAGTAAATGCTTAGTGACATTTATCTACTGACTTTTTATCAAATGTCACCCATTTGAGTTCATAACCATATAATTTGTGACATATAAAAAAATATCAGCAAATTATTTATAAATTAAAAAAAATATAGATGCACGGTTAAAATTGAAAACAATACATTTATTATATTTCCTTTTACATACAATATAGAAAAGAAGAAAAAAACAAATATATTTATTTGCTCTTCGCAATACCGCAAACATTCACATTCATGTCAAAAGTTTCAAGTGTCATACACCACAGATAATTTAAATGAATTTAAAAACAATAGTCCAGTACAGTATATACATAATTGTAACTTTTCTCTTTGTTAACATCTTCAAAATAGCCTATACAATTTGAAGCTTTAGTGTCCGTGTTCTTTGATGAAGAAGCTTTGGTATCAGTATATCACCACGCCAAGGATTCACCCACACTATAGTAGCTCACATCCTTCAGAAGTGTTGTCTCCAATAACTGAAAAGAAAAGAATTATACTAAACTAGTTAGGGAACGATAAAAAAAACAATATTAAAAAAGTAAGAAAAGCATTAATAGAGGCACAATGGCCTTGTTGCCTTTGCGACATAGTTTTAAACAAGATAATGCACCAAATTATTTGTTTAGTATAGATTGTGACACATGATAAACCAACAGAGGCAATGCAAGTAAACACTAGTATAACAAGTACAATTGATTACCACACAAAAGGGTACAGAACAAAGTAAATGATCAAGCTGAAACAATATACATAACAATTTCAAAGGGATAACCTAACAACCTGATAGGATAGATTAAAAGAAACAACCAATCCGGNCCAACCAATCCGGAAGATTAAGTGGAACTTGGAAGCTACATAGCCTCAAGTGGACTCCATGTAGTTCAATCAGCGAGTTGGCCTCTAAATAAACCTGGATAATAAACAAAGATTACATACACACATGAACCTCTAATGGATTCTTTATCAAAATCCATTTGATAACTTATCCAGAACTTTAAAGCATTCTCTCAAACAGTTGGAAGGCAATATACTACTATACAGTTGAAAAGGTAAATTTCGTATCAATTAAAATGCACAATATAATTAGGTGCTCTAATTCAATTATAGAAAGGTAATACACTGACATGCGGCAATATCTCATCTATCGGATTGTGGCACACATATATGAAATAGGATATATCAACTATCCAGAATTCATTCATATCCAAAGTGAATGAATCACAAACCTATTTTTTAATATGAACAACCCATAATTTCAAATTAAAAGAAGAAAAATTAATTGAAGATTCCT